ATGTTGTTTTCATCCTAGGTTTAGACCTGTATTAGCAAAAGGATTGTGAAGTAAATCATCCTTAACAAAAAGTCAAGAGGGACAACTGTTTCTTTACATTGTTCTGTCCTGAGGCTTCAATCTTCTAGCAATACAGTCCAGGTCAGTTACAGAACTTGTATTAGTATATACTTCAAATTTTCACTGGCAACTCCTGTTTGTTGTGGTCGTTGCCTTCTCTTCGCCTTTGCCTTAACCGTTCACCAATACCGTCTGCGTTAGGTTCAGCAGCAACTGGTCTCTTCTTAAGCTTTGAATTATTCTCTCTCAATACTGCTTTCACAATGTTGGTTATCTCCATAAAGCAATTCCTCCTGTTTTTCCAATTCACTTTCTGATAGCATAATGTTTAAACCCTGAACATCATGGTCTTTGCTTCCTCGACACCTTTGCTTTAACCCTCCCAGCAGCACTGTCTGCACTCGGTTCAGAAGCAGCAGCAAGTTTCTTCTCAAGCTTTGAAGAATTCTTAGTTCCAATACTGCTTTCACCATGTTGGTTATCTCCGTGAAGTGCTTCCTCCTTTTTTTCCAATGCATTTTCTGACAACATATTGTTTAAAGCCTGCATGTTATGGTCTTTGCCTTCTCCTTGCCTTTGCCTTAACCTTCCAGCAATACTATCCATCCAAGGTTCAGCAGCAAGCGGTCTCTTCTTAAGCTTTGAAGGACTCTCTGATCTAATATTGCTTTCACCATCTTTGTTATCTGCAGGAAGTACTTCCTTCTCTTCCTTCCAATTCATTTTCCAACAATGTATTGTTTACAGCCTGTTTGGCATCTAGAGGTTCCTCAACCATCCCTGTTACCTCATCACTATGGAAGTCATAATTTCAATCAGATCTTGGTTCCAATGCCATATTGCCACTGTCATGTTCCTTGTACAAAAGATGTGATTCGTTCTCATATTCACATTTAAACCCATCACTTTGCTTGTCTTCAAGGTCAAGCTCTGGAAAACCCAAGTAGCCATTGGCCTTGACTTCATCCTCTGCAGACGCTCCATCTTTAAATTCTTGTTCAAAATTTGATTTCTTTATAGATATATAGCGGCTGGATTTGGTTCTGTATGTATCTTCTTATCTTTCTCATAATTAAAGCCATTTTGATCGCTTTCTTCTGATTGAGGCCTTGGTACTTCCAAGTGATTACTATCATCATCCTTGTAAGATTCTTCAAGTTGGGCTTCCATATCTAGAAATGACAGTGACCTCCTAGCAGAAACTGGATCTCCATTCTCTAGATTCTTTTGATCAATATTAGTTTGTGCCTGTTTGGTTTCAATGAGGTAATGTGCAACTGACTTGAAGCCTAATTGAGATATCTAGAAAGTGGGCTTGAAGGTTACCTATAATTTCAGCTTCAAAATGAAAGTAAGACAACAACAGATATCGTGGTTGAGAGACTGACCTTCTAATAAAGAGCGCCAGTAGGAGGCAATCCTTTTGCATTCCGGCACAAACTACAATTGCAAATTCTATGGCACACAGGCCAAACCCAATTTGGATTCTCTATAGCTTCAAGTACATGCTCTCCATATCTGCACATTTTTAAGAACAATATTAACAACAGAAACTAAGACAGAAAACACTGAATGACACAAAGCCTAAAGGCTTTAGCAGCATTACATTTGACATTTCTGCTACAATGTATGGTTAGACATTCTCTTATTACATGAACTGGAAAGCATAATGTATAAGAGTGAGCTATCAAATGTCACAGTTCTTCTGCTGAGCTCAAATAGATCCACATTTATTCATGTCAAGTCAATGAATGTAAGCACGAGACACTATATGTGACATGAAACTAGAGGAATTTTCAAACCGCTGGATCTTTGGGAACATCCTAAGCAGCTTCGGATGTGGATGTAGAGCTAAAGAAAAGAGACTTTTCTTATAAAAAATGGATTCTATTTAGCTCATATTTGCAAAGAGACTAGTTGTAAATCTAATGAGTTCCCAGAAGGTTCCATGAAAGATAAAACTTGAAGATAAGAGCTGAATAAAATTTTAATGTGCTTAAATTGCAATACACGTAACATGAAGAGCTTTGACAGCTAGCCAACATTTTCTGTTTGCAAAGCACAGATATTAAGGAAGCGAAGTATACTCCAAAAAGTTTGTACCTCAAGTACAAACAATCTCCACCGAGCTGTCCCTGGACCATATTGCATTTGCTGCAGCAACTACGATGACCAAGAGTTTTTGCCTGTAAAACAGCAATCGATCAGGTAATGAACAACCTAGCGTAGCTGTATAAGGAAAATAGGTAGAATAATCATTAAAATACAAATCAGGCTTATACAACTAATAACCAACATAGATCATTATCTACAGATAATTTTCTTAAACTTCTAAATCTCAGTGACCATTTTACAATATCGGGATATCAATGAGCTAAGAGGCTACCATGGTCTATGGTAGCAAAATATTCAGCATTCAGGTACTACATCTCTCGTTTAAGCATGTCTTGTCAAATTATCCTGTGAAATAATAGCATTATGATTAGTGGTTGGTATAAACAGACAGCATGCAAACAGAATATTAAAGACTGCTTACCGGCATTGATGACAAGTGTTTCCCTTAATGGGATCATAAGTTCGGTTCCCATCCTCAAAAAGTGTCCAGCTTCTCTTGGCATTACCCAATAGCTTCTCATGCTCCTCTGTGTATACCTCTGGCCTTGTACCTTCCTGTAGCTTCCCACCCCCATCTTTCTTTGCCACACCCACTTCTGAATAGCTAACAGGAACTGTATTTTGCAACCTGAGGAAGAAGAATCCGTCCTCTATTCATACTTAACAAAATCAAAAATTTTTTCTACTTGGTAGAGAAAATTTTGAGGCATCTTCTTTTCCTAATGGATAAAGAATCCCCACTTGATTAGTGATTATACATGCCTAAAGTTACATTTTTTTTAATCAAGTACTATTTTTTTTTTTATTCAGAAAAGGGGAAAATATTAAAAAGAACGGCAAAGGTACCTAGAGGAGCGGCGGAGGGGGCCAGGCAGTGTCAGGGGAGAGGAGGATGGGGTGGATGATGGATTCTTCCGGCTGCGCTTAGGAGGAAGGAGAGAGTTGAGCTTGTGGGAGAGATCCATTACGCCGAGTTTTTGCATCCTTTAGAGGTTTTCTTTGATTCTCTCTTCTCTCGACTGCTCGTAGAGCGAGATTTTGGGGATTTGGCTTTCGCCATTACAGTCCATTTGGAGATTATGCTCTTCACCTTAGGCAGTGTCTCTGTACTGGGAGTGTGATTTCTGAGGAGGTCTAACGGTCAAGTTTGGAGCCCATTATTTATGGGAAGTGGAGGAGGGAAAGAGGAAGTGAACCAATTTTTTTAATCGACTTTTAATGCCTTTCAATTTAAAATTTGGAAGTTATTTTTTTTAATACTAGATTTTTTTTTTTTGATACCTACCACCTAGTTAATACTAGATGATGAGTAATAACGATAGTTCTTCTCTCTTTTTAATTAATTAATTATTTATATTTTTAATTTTTAAATTTAAGATTTTAATTTAAAATTTTAAACACTTATAATATTCATTTTTTATCATAATAATTATAAAATATAAATTATTAAATAATAAAAACCTCATAAACATAAATCATTAGATGATAAATAACGGCTTATCCATTATAAGGGCTCCTTTGTCTACAATAGCATGTATGCTGAATTTTGCAATCCGAAATACAACGCCCTAAAAGTTTAAAAGAAATCATCTATTTCGGTTGTTCAGTGGACTCAACCTGCCCATCAGTGGATTTGGTGCACCTACCAACTTATCTATGGGGTTTGGTGCTCAAGAGGCAAGTTTACATACATATGGTTTTAATCTAATGTTACAGCCAAGGACAAAGCCAAGAAATTTAGTTAGGGGTGAAAATTATTATTGAATATTTGAGTTTTAAAAGTATTTTTTATGACACTAATTTAATTTTTAAAAATCTTTTTTCCCTTTTTTTTTAATCAAATATTCTTAACAAAAATAAAAAATAAATATATTTATTATAATAAGAACAAAATATCACAATAATAAATCATGTAACAATCAATATAAGGATGAATAAAAAAAGAAAAATATGCTTGTTAGCTGAATTTCTAAACTATTAAAAGGAAAAATATCACAAAATTACATCATTTTATTAAACTTGAATTTAAAAAGACAAAATCAACATATTTTTATAGCATGAATGAGACTATTTTGATTTTATTGAAATAATTTAATTTTGTGATGTTTTCCTCTTAATGTTTTGGGGGTCATGTTGATAAGCACTAATATTGTATTAAAAAAAAAGACTAAAATATTTTTTTAAAAAAGTGAACTATAACTTAAATTGATTATATTTAATAAAAAATTATGATTATAAATTTAATCAAGAAAGGTAAAAACATACATTGATGCCCAAAAAAAAAACCTTTAAATTATTAAATAGAATATAAGAAAGAAAATAAAAGAATGCTAAAGAAAATTATATATTTAAAGTTGTTTAAATAGAGAATCAAAGTTTTTTTTTTTTTTTTGGGTTTAATAGATGAGAAAATATTTAAAAACCCCAATTCTTAATTAATTAAATTGACATAAAATTCATTTTATTTGAATCATATCTTTATTCTTTGAAAACTCTTTATATATTTGAAATGGTACTTGAAATTCATATTATAAAAACAAATTTTTTAACAAATAAAAGTTAGAGTACCATATTAAATATTTTTTAAAAGTTTAAGGGGGCGGCCCCCCACCTTCTCCTCCAATAGCTCCGTCCCAGGTTACAGCCTGACCTTACGTCTACAAGTGCACCTAGAAAGAAACATTCTTGGTTCAGGCTGCCCATAGTCATGACTAATAACTTTAAATTAAGCAATCTCTCGTACCCTTAAATTAATCACGTAATTAATTTAGTTTGACCATCACGTGGGCAGCATCCTTAAGCAAAAGCCAAATGTTCATGCCACGTTGTGAAAATTGCATAATGTTGATGAACTAACCCACATCCAATTTTTCCTTGGGATGGTTTAATTCCAGAAGTCCTTCGGTCCACAAAAATAGTCATACCAAATTACACCAAGCCTACAAGCTTCCTCAATAGATTGTCTAGCTAGCTAGGAACCAACTCATATATAATCATCAAGAACATCAATGGTTACTTTAGAGCTTTCATTTTTTGCAATTGGTGGAATTTAGAAAAGAATTGAAGTCCCATCTCATGGCGAAGAAATTCAGATCATCTTGGCTTTTTATCACCTTGGTTCTTCTTCTCACTAATATAAGTTGTTTTGGCAATGCTGCGAATGATAGTGAAGGGTTAGGAGCTTCTTTTATCTTCGGCGATTCTCTGGTGGACGCCGGCAATAATAATTATTTACCGACCTTGTCCAAGGCAAATATACGACCCAATGGAATTGATTTCAAAGCGTCCGGTGGAAACCCTACCGGCCGCTACACTAATGGCAGAACCATAGGTGATATTGTAGGTACGTTCTCTATTTATCTCAAGTAAACATAGAAGTTTTATTTTATTTTTTTTTATTTTATTTTTTTTCAATTTAGATAGAAAATTCACAGGAAAGAAAAAGAAATATATAGGTTATTTAAGGAAAAATTGTTATATAGTCAAATTATACAATATAATTATTAACTGAGGGATAAGTCTTTATTTTAAAATTTAATATAATTTAAATTATAAAATATAAAACTTTTTATTTAATTATCCACTTAACATGTGCATAATTTTTATTTTTCTTTAACAGGGGAAGAATTGGGACAACCGAATTATGCTGTACCATTCCTGGCTCCAAATTCCACTGGCAATGCTATACTATATGGCGTGAATTATGCATCAGGAGGAGGAGGGATTCTGAACGCAACTGGAAGAATATTTGTTAGATTTTAGTTTCTCCCTTAATTTTCATCAGTTTTTTTTTTCCTCTCACAATTTGAATATACGTGTTAAATATAATTTGTTACTGCAGATTTGAATATATGTGTTAAAATATAATTTGTCACTGCAGATTAACAGGCTTGGACTGGATATTCAAGTAGACTATTTCAACATCACAAGAAAACAATTTGATCAACTGTTAGGCGCAGACAAAGCTAAAGACTATATCATGAAGAAATCCATTTTCTCAATCACCATAGGAGCAAATGATTTCCTCAACAATTATCTTCTCCCCGTTGTCTCAGTAGGAGCCAGGATCTCCGAGAGCCCTGATGCTTTCATCGACGATATGATCAGTCACCTAAGGAACCAACTAACTGTATGTAACAAGAAAATTACGTGTTTAATGTTACAACTTAATTTTAAGCCAAAAATGTTCTAAATTCATGATGTTCATTTGCTGTGGCAGAGGCTTTACCAACTGGATGCAAGGAAATTTGTCATTGGGAACGTCGGACCGATAGGGTGCATACCCTATCAGAAGACAATAAATCAGTTGAACGCGGATGAATGTGTCGATTTGGCTAATAAGTTAGCAGTACAGTATAATGGAAAATTGAAGGACCTGCTTTCTTCATTGAACGAAACTCTTCCTGGCTCCACTTTTGTTTATGCTGATGTTTATGCCCTGGTCATGGAGCTCATCACAAATTATGACAAATATGGTAACAATATATTCGTTATGCCAATAATTTTCTTGCGTTTATTAGTTTTTTTGACTGCTAACTAATTTAGATATATGTTCATCGATCACTCTGTCTGCTATTAATTGCCATATGCAGGATTTACAACGGCGAGTACAGCTTGTTGTGGGAATGGAGGCCAATATGCAGGGATAATACCGTGTGGACCGGCATCTACTATGTGTCAGGATCGCTCCAAACATGTATTTTGGGATCCTTACCATCCAAGTGAGGCTGCAAATGTCATAATCGCCAAGCAATTGCTCTATGGAGATCGGAAATACGTATCTCCGATCAATCTCAAACAACTTCGAGATCTTTAAAATCAATGAACTGTGGCTTGTCGTTTGATCAACTGTACAAGTTTCTTTTCTCTGATATTGTTACCATTTTGTTCTGTTTGTGTCACAATATAAGTACTTCTGAGAAATGCCAGTATGTATGCATTAAATGTAAAAATATGACTACCAATACAAAGAGATTGTGTTAGATTCATTATGGTTGAAGGTTGTTGGGTTGGGCGGCATTTCTAGAAAGAATATATTTCCCAGCCTGGAGCGTCAGTACGTATATTGATTGAACTCTGCCTCCATAATAAATATCAATGTACCTACCTTGTGGAAGAAATTCACTGTCATCATTTTCTAATTAGCCAACATTGTACATGTTGTGCTACGCACACAATTTTTGAAAATATATTCTTCATGGTAGAGAAGAAGTGAGACGAAACTTTATTTTTTTTATGGGAGAGAATTTTATTTTACTATTGGATTATATTGAATTAAAATTTAAAAATTATTAAATGAAGAGAAGGTTTTTAATATTAAGATGCTCAATTTTTTTATTTAATGATTAATATAATATAATATAATATAATTTGAATTATATTATATTTTTTTATATATTTTTAATAGATTGATTTTAAAGATAAATTTTTACTAATAGACTTTCGAATTTGATTTTTTTTTTATCAATTCATGGTATATACTTGCTTAAAAAAATGCATGCACTAATATATTAAATTACAAAAAATTAATCATTAAATTAAAAAAAATCCATAATAATAAGGAAAAAAATCTCATCTAATAACTAATATTTTTAGGTATAAAACTATATTACTTTTAAAAAATTTATACTCAAAAACTTTTATAAAGAATGTAGTTAAATTAAAGAATTATTAATTAATTAATTAATTAACTAATTAACAAAGACACATTAAAATCAATCCTTAACATCCCATGTGCATCTTCATCTTAAAAACATCATGCAAATTAACCATGCCGTTCAAGATCAGGAGGGAATCATAAATGTAATGACTGGAAAAAGGCCAAAATGAAAAGCAAGAGTTCAGAGTTCAGATATGCAGAGGGTGACTGAAGAAACGAAGAATTTTGGGTGTGTGAAAGCGACAGGTGATGGTTTGACGGGAGACATTTAGATGGCTACGGAGCACTGCGCGTGCCAGTGGCTAATTGCCGACAGCATCGGTCCTCGCTGACTGCGGCACAGTACCTCCGCTGGCTCTAATGTCTCTCGAGTCTTCACCCCGCCAAACTGCCCCCCATCGTTACTGTTCAAACTGCAAACCCAGACACTTTCTCTTTGTTCCCTTGCACGTTTATCATCTATGTGCCCCCTGCAAACGTACTACAAGGGCTTCTAGTCCTACTTTTTCTAGGTAAAATTAGGCACCACTTAATTTGTTTTTTTTAAAGGATTACAATTGAAGATAAGGGAATTTAACTCTAATTTTAAGGATGGGGTGTATCTTTATAATGAAACACATAGTTATTGGGTCTCATGAGAGTTAAGTGCACTTAATTATTTGCTTTTAATTACTATTTTTGTTTTTTTACCTTAATTTAATATTTCTAATTTTTTAAATATGAATTTTAGTAAAATTTTAATAATGTTTATAAATAATAATTAAATTTTTTCTTATATAAATTTTTTAATGAATATTTTTATTTGATAAAAAATTTTAATTATCATTTATATAATATTATTAAATTTTTATCTCAAATTTATATTTGAAACATTAAAAAATTAAGTTAAATTTATTAAAAATAAATAGAGATAGTATTATTATATGCTAGTTGTTTATTATGGGTGTGGGCCAAAGATAGGGAGAATCAACGGTGAGGATGAGTTCAGGGAGATGAGTGAACCTTGGGGTTAGGTTATTGTCTTAATCTAAATTGTTAAGATTGCTAATTTATCTGTAATTTTATAATTTATACTTTCATTCTTGAAAGGTTAATTAGTAAAATATTTTAAAATGAGAAAAATATTTTGCAAATCATTCTCTTAAATTTTTTTAAAAGACATGCTTAAAAATTTATTTTTTGATTTATATTTGTAAAAATTAATCATTTAATTAAAAATTTTATTTATATAAATCATAAATATATAAATTTTTAGGCTAATTTAATAGATTTAATTATTTCGTTAACTATAAAAAATTTAATATCATTAAATATATATTAATAATAGAGTTATTTTGACATTACATAAATATAAAAATTAATATGCATAAGTTATATAAATAAAAGTTTTAATTTGGTAAGTCAATTTTAAAAAATATTAATTAAAAAATAAAATTTTATACTAATTCTCTCGAGAAAATTTAAAAAGATGATTTCTCCTACATTATTTTTTTGAAAATATTTATTTATAAATTAATTTTAAATTTATTAAATAATAAATATTTTTTTATCTTATCAATTATTATTATTTTAATAATTAAATTAACTTAAAATTTTAATAATGAGCGACTATCTTATCATATTAGATGGTGACTATCATATTTAAATGGTGACTATATCCATGACGAAAACACAGGGCAAAGAGGAACAGTGGAGCGTGAAATCCGGTAAGAGATTGGAGGGGGAGCAGTGGAGTGCCACGAACTACGAGGTGGGAATCTGAAACGGACATGACGTGTTTGAAAACAGGGGGAAGAGCGACGAAGACCCAATAATTGCACCGTCAATGATCCCATGCTGCTGGACACTCGTGATTCTGTTTGTACCTTGTCCTGTCCCGCCCCCGCCCCATCAAAGTCTCTACTCGCATTATGTTCCCACTCCGGCGTCCCTCCATGCTCAAGTCACTGGTCTTCGCTTTTTCCCCATTTTGCTTCCCTCAAAATTCCTAACAGAGGCACAATCCAGTTCATTGCCCACCTTCAAACCAGAAACAACTCAATTATGGCTTTGCAAGGTCTAGATTTTGCTACCCTAAATCATCACCCTTGTAATTGTGCAGCCTAAAATTGTTTTCCAAAAGTGTCATGGTTCTATTTTACGGGGACTAAGTTCTAATTAATATTGCAACACGGTAATGCGTGTAAATTTGAATAAAAATAAGTAATTATAATTATTTTAACAAAAAATTATAATTTTTTTTAAAAATAAATGTATAATCATTATTTTTGTTGATACGTATATATTTAAAAATATAATTTATTTGAGTCAATAATAGTTATTGTTATAAGGCTTTTTATTAAATGTTACATAAACTATTATTGGATTATTAAAAATAATTGATATTTATAATTATTAATTAATAAAATAATT